CGCCCAAGCCACAAGCAGCCAAAATTTGCAATCACCTCCTACGGCCCAATCTAGCGATCTCTCCCCTCTAACCAATTTTATTAACGAATTTAAAGCTTTGATAAATCCACTTTTATCTCTCCTCACCACTGTTCTCGATCGCCTACTTACCCAAAATGTCAAATAGTCCTTTTACCTCACAATCTTTAGTCATCCTATTATGGAATGCTAACGGTCTAGCAAACCACAGAAATGAATTAATAACAACTCTAAACGAAAAAAGAATCGACTTAGATTTAATCTCAGAGACCCATTTTACCTCCAATACTAAATTTTCAATTCCTGGCTACACGACAATTCCAGCTAACCACCCTGATAACACGGCCCATGCAGGTGCAGCGATTCTCATCAGGTCACTTATTCAATTTACACCCCTTCCCAGTATTAATGAAGACTTCCTTCAAGCTGTAGCGATAAATATTAAATTAAACCATACCCCAATTACTATGGTGGCGTCATATTGCCCACCTAAACACAAAATTACGCAGACACAATTTGAAAATTTCTTTAACTCCTTTGGTCAATACTTCGTCATAGGGGGGGACTTAAATGCCAAACACCATTCATGGGGTTGTCATACATCTAACCCAAAAGGGAAATCTCTACTAAAAGCAATTAACAATAAGCAATTATCTGTTCTTGCCCCTCCTAACCCTACATACTGGCCTTCATCACTAAGAAAACGCCCGGATATTCTCGATATATTTGTTGTCCAAGTCCCTCCAAGATTGAATCATCTAGTTACAAACTTATTGGACCCGTGTTCCGACCATTCCCCAGTTCTCTTATGCTTAGACGCCTCACCTTATCTCCAACCTGGTAAACCATCACTGATAAATGGTGTTATGGACTGGGAAAATTTTCGTGATATAATTAATCAAAGAATAAAATTAAATATAAGTCTGAAATGTCCAAGTGATATCGATGACGCTGTTCTTAATTTTACTGAAATCATCCAGTCAGCTGCGTGGAACTCCACCGTCCACCGGAAGAAAAATGATAGCTCTAACCATTTGCTAATTCCTGCACATGTCCGCGAACTAATAACCCAAAAGAGGAGAGCCAGAGCCCGTTGGCAAAGAACAAGACTTCCATCTGACAAAAGTATTTATAATAAGCTAACCTGGTCACTTAAACGTATCCTGCAACATCTAAGGAACGAATCCTTTAATAACTGGATTGCATCCCTAACGACCAGGGACAACTCGCTCTGGAGAGCAACACGTAATTGTTTAAAACAAAAGTCCGCCCCAACTTCCTTAAAAAAATCCGATGGTACTTGGTGCAAATCAGATAAAGAGAAAGCTGAACTTTTCTGTTCTCACCTTTCGGAAGTTTTTAAGCCTCACCAACCAACTTCTAACGTCACCTTCTCGGAAACAATTGAAAACTCTCTTAATTCAGCCCTGCCACTTTATCTCGCCCCCAAACCTTTTTCACCAGGTGCGGTTCTTCGTTTTATAAATACGTTTCCACTGAAAAATTCATCCGGAATAGACCTCATCACAGCTGAGGTAGCTCGACAACTGCCAAAGACGGCTTTAATTCACCTAACCCACATCTTAAACTCTATCTTGAGGCTTTCGTACTTCCCCATTCAATGGAAAGTATCCCTTACAATCCTAATTCCCAAGCCTGGCAAACCTCCCGATACTCCATCATCTTATCGTCCAATAAGCTTACTTCCTTTCTTTGCAAAACTGTGTGAAAAAATGATCCTAAAACGAATATCCAATATAATTAACGACAAAGAAATTATCCCCTGCACGCAATTTGGCTTCCAAGACAAACATTCCACTATCCATCAGGTACACCGCCTTACTGACTCAATTGCCTACTCCTTAGAAACGAAGTCACACTGCTCAGCTGTCCTACTTGATGTTGCCCAAGCCTTTGACAGAGTCTGGCATCCTGGTCTCTTACACAAGCTGAAAATAATTCTCCCTCCACCGTATTATTTATTTTTTAAGTCATATCTCGAGGACAGATTCTTTGCCGTTAAAGTTGGCTCTGAAATCTCAAATTTGGCCCCAATCCTTGCTGGTGTTCCTCAAGGCGCCATCTCTTCTCCCATATTGTTTAACATATACACATCGGATCAACCAACCACTTCTCAAACTTCTGTAGCCGACTTCGCTGATGATAAAGTTATATATATTTCCGAAAAAAACCCATTTCTTGCCAGCCAATATTTGCAGAACCATCTAAACCTACTCTCTGATTGGTATTCCAATTGGAGAATTAAAATAAACAATGACAAATCATCCCACATCACCTTCACTCTCAAACAATCCACAGTACCTCCAGTTTATTTAAACAATAAAGTTATTCCTTCCTCCTCTAATGTTAAATATTTGGGTCTCACTCTCGATAAACGACTTACCTGGGCCTTACATATTAAGCAGAAACGTCTCTTGCTAAATGCCAGACGAAGAGCGCTCTTCCCACTTATAGGAAGACAAGCAAAAACCAAACTGCTACTGTACAAAACCCTTCTCAAGCCAATTTGGTTATACGGTATCCAATTGTGGAGTGCAGCAAAAAAGTCTAATACTTACAAAATCCAAGCATTCCAATCGACCTCATTGCGAATGATTACAGGCGCTCCTCCGTACGTTTCAAACCACACCTTACATTCAGACTTAAAAATTTTAACTGTCCATGAAGAAGCCAAAAATGCCTATAGACTTTTCCGCGCGCGTCTTACAAACCACTCTAATCTACTAATCCGTGCCCTAAACTCCAATTCCATTCCAGGTAATCCACCTAGAAGGTTAAAACGTAACTGGAACCGTGATAATAGCCCTCTATAGCCAGTAAGTGTTGCCGCTGGGTGATTACTTCTTCGTGTCGATCTCGCCTTTTTTATTTTTATTATTTTTTTTTTCTATAATTCCTCAAACATGCTTATTGTAAAAAGTGTATTTACAGATTGTATGTGTTATAATTAAAATTTAAAAAAAAAAAAAAATATTTCTTTATTATAAAAAAAACTTTTTTTTTTATATTTGTTATCTTTTCTATAATAAATGGAAAGTATTTTTAATAAATATGACGATCACATTATTCGATCACAATATAAAACATATGAAGCAACATCAGAAACAAATTTTAACAGAGATGGTGGTGTTATAACCTTTGAAATTGAAGATTCTGATATTTTTCTCAATATTAAACATGCAAAATATAATATTAGTGGAAAATACTTAAAAAATAACAATACTGAATATGAAGCTAATAGCAATGTTCAATTAGATGATAATTTTGTCGCAATTTCATTTTCACAAATTGAAGTAATAAAAAATGGAACATTAATAGATCAAATTAAAAACGTCAGTAGATCAAGCATAATCAAAGGACGTGTTAGTTATTATTTAGATGAAAATGGTCCAACAATTAATTCTGGATTTACAGGTGGGGGAAGATTCGAAGCTGTTGGGAATTTTTCTAATCTAAGTTTAGGTTTTTTTTAAGATATTAAATATCCAATTTTTAAAGGAGGAATTAAAATAAATTTTAAGAGAGCTAAAGACTATGATGCATTATATAAATTAATTTCTTGGACTTCTGCAGCACCTGATGTTGGAACAGTTATTATTGAGAATTTTGAGATTACAATCCCATCAGTGGAATATCAAGAAATGTATAAAATACAATTAATAAATAAATTGACAAAATTATCTCAAGGAAATAATTACAGGTTAAATTTCAAATCGTGGCAATG